TATCTTTGCACTGCTTTGGCGTATTTTCAATATTTTTACAGTTCTGAGATCCTTATAGGACAATCTCTTCAAAAAAGTTACTAGAATGTTCTTAGCTCGTGTTTATTTTTTTGGCGCCAAAGTTGGCACGTCATTTTCCCGCCAAAATGTAACAAAATTGAAAAACAAAATCGATACGAATTTTAGGAATGGCAAGTTCTATCCTGTCAGGAAGTTTCGTGATATTCCAAGCTAACGACAGAAAGTTATTTGTACGTGGCCGAATTTGCTGTCTTTTGTGCCAACCGTGATATCGAATGGCATCTAAAACTACACTCTGATAAACACTGGGGATGCAGCCGTCTCTCCCCCATCAACCCCTTTCAATTCTTTGAAGTTAAATGGCTAACTCAAGCTATTGACTATTTTTTTATCTAGTAGACAAGAAAGACGAAATCTATCATTATAGCTGAAAAGAGCATCTTAAAATTAGTAAAATTGCAAAGTTTGCTTGCGAAATGTTGCCGTAAAATACGAAAAATAATAAAATATAGCCCTGTGTCAGGGAAATTAGCAAATTTCGAATATTTTAGTATTATGCGTGCAACAATGCATCACTTTTGAGCCGAAAGTGGTGCATTTTCCCGCCGCCGCGTAATACTAAAATACTCAAAATTTGCTAATTTCACACGGCTATATAAATTTTTCGTATTTTACAACATATCACAATCAAACTTTGCAATTAGGATGCTTTTTGAGTTGTTATGATAGATTTCATCTTTCTTGTCCAACCTCGTTCCCAGGCTCTTCCTCCACAAAAGGGAGAGCCTGGGAACGAGGTTGTTTCTTGTCTAGATAAAAAATTAGTCGATGGCTGGAAACAGCCATTCATAATTCCATATATCTCCGTTATATAGTGAACGGTGTAATTCAGTCTAATTTATGCATGCACGAGAATCAAGCAAGCACAATGGTCAAAAGTTACTAATTTTTTACCGACAATAAGATTATGCTTATCCAATTAAACTTTGGAAGATAACTTTATTAATAACATTCGAGAAGATTAACAAATTATATCCTGCATGTTTAGTCCTAAATTTCTCCAAGAGTTTGCAGACCCTTTCACGCAGACGTAATTTTACATCACCTCATCTTCACAAAATTCACAATGATTCGCTCGAATTCGCTTGTCCTCCGCGCGAATAGGAATTATACACGACAGCAAAATGGAATTCTCTCAAAACAATGTGGAGCCAAGCTGACTTAATTTGTCAATAAACTGCCGTGGTTTATGTCTGTGCAACCCGAGAAAAAAATCTAAACATTTCGAGCGATATCAATTCTTTAGCGTTTAGCTGTAGTTACTATACTTCACTATACTCCTGATAAGAATCGTCGCTCGAAACGTCGAGTTTAAGTCTTTTTCAGGCAGTTCACATACAAACTACGGCGCTCTTGTAAAATGCTACCTATACCGGACCCCCACGTGCTTAATTTGTCAAATCACCCCCGTTATTGTTCTTCGCGTTTGATATACTGTGGGAGCACAGCGGTTGACGTTTTGTCATGTAATTGAGTTAATACATCATACTCTGCTCTTAATAATACACCAGCTGGGAAAAGTATTAAATGTATAAATATATGAACGGCGGTCCTCGTTAATTTCGTGTCAGCCTGTGCGTCCATTTCGCTCTCCCAGAGAGACAGACAATCCACAACAAGCGCCATGTAGCATTTTGGTCAAAGCGTTTAACTGTATAGGCTTCCCAATATGTCCACTTTAATTTTGTTCTCGTATTTTTCGTGCAAGACATGAAATTGACAAAGGGATTTGGGCTTTGTTTCTTGTTTTTGAATGCTGATTGGATTGGACAGGATTTCTGATTGCCAGCAGGGTAGATATATGGCTAAACTTTGTCGTTACTATTTATTACTATATGATAATTCATAAACTATATAATATCTTTGAGCCATTATACCAGGGGAAGTTTGTATCTTATATATATATTCATCAGTATATAAAAAACGGCGTCGTATATATATTGGCATGCAAGATATAACATAGTGGAGTTTTGCTTAAATGCTCTATGGGAATGGACTTGTCGTTAAACTTATATTAGCCTATACTCCTTGGCAATTCTATATATATAGCCTTCCTTAATTCATTATAATAAAATACTTGCAAACCGTTAGCTTATATGTAGTCCTATTTTTTACTCCATCGGAACCGATTTTGTATCTGACTTTTGTATACTGTATATTTGCATTTAAAGTGATTAACGATATTAAAAATAGCGCCGAAATTTTAATGCTTAGCAAAAGAAATTTTATTTCCAGTTTTTTTAATGTTTGTTCACTTTTAATTGCAAAAAAGATGGTTTGGTTTTATATATATATTCAATATAGTTTTTCGTTTTACCTCAAAAAACCACAACAGTCTGTTTCATCCGTATATAGGAATCATCAGGTCCCTATATACGGATGAAACAGACTGTTATAATTGTGGTTTTTTGAGGTAAAACGAAAAACTATATTACACTCTATCTATATATGGTATTGAGCACTGTTTGTGTTTCACGGCGTAAACCAAAAACTTAAGCTATTTTTCAATATATATAATATATACTGTGTGCTTTTTCAGAAGCAATTTATTAAATATATAGTATGCTGTATGTTTAGTATTAAAGATTAAACGTATCTCTAATTTATTGTCTCATGCACATTTAAAACCACAATATAAACTTGTGGCTAGGAAGTCGGGCCACAAAATGTAAATATATCGTTAACGTCTGATTGATCCAAAATCTATGTGTATCAATGACATAGTAGCTTTATATTATAACATGCAGTATATTATATAACTGCATATAACCTATTATTATTATTATAACATATACTTTATATTATAACATACTATTATTTTATATGTATATTTAAAAAACTCATTAATAATTCAGGAGCAAAACACAAAGAAAAATCATAAGCGTGTCGTGGTTTTATATGTGATATAAAATCAAGTTAATTTACATAAACTTTAGCTTTGATTTTCTCGGTTTAGACAAAGTTTATTTTAAAAATTACTTCGCCAATGAACTCGTATAAGATGAGTAGTTTTTTAAGCCATTTAAAGCACTTGTAGAGTTGTAGTCGTGTTTTATCACATATAAAACACTCCGCTACGCGTCGTGTTTTATATGTGATAAAACACTCCTACGCGTGCTTTAAATAGGACATATATATATATATATATATATAATTCAGTCAAGGTTTGAATGTTTGCGTCGCTACTCTGAGTTTCACGCTTTACGCGATCATCAGGCAACTGACAGATATTATTCAATATTCATAATAAATATAGGTTATCCAATATTCATATATATATTATATATATATAATACGAGCGCGAAAGGCTGCTGGGAATCGCTAACAAATTAATGAATTTTCAAAGCGATTCCCAGCAGCCTTTCGCGCTCGTATTCGACTTTTCCGCTTTGCTCGTGGACAACCTTAATTGAAATAGCTGTATACCATATTGGCATATATTGCATGCATGTATGCAATATATGTTTTCAGAAAAATGTAGCTGTTGTCTTTTCACATATCAAACAGTCAAACACCAAATCCTATGAATTATAAACTATATATAAATATAGGCATATTTTTCACGATGTATACATTAAAATATAAATCTAACAATTAAGAGATCGTATAATTAAAATAAGATATAGCTATACGAAATTCGAAAAGTGAGATAATTCATTAAAATTCGGGGTTTCGTATATAGTCATTAATATTAAAATGTTTAAGTTTTTCGAATTTGTGTTTTGTTATATGTTTTATGATGATATTGAATTATTAAGCACAAAATATATGGGATGAAGATTGCAAAGATATGCGATTGTTCGGATAAAACAGCCAGCATTGTAGCTGTCATTTATTTATTAATATTTTATGCCTTTTCATCCACTGTTCAGCTGACAGGTGGCAAAAGTTACACGCACTAATTCATTGTAATCGTTTGAAAAATTTGCACCTAAGTTAATGAAAAAATAGACTAACCTATCGGGCGTGGCAATGGCGGACGATATGGAAGAAATGTCCGATGTTCCTTGGAACCTGAAGTTGTCTTTTCCAAATGTTCCTCAAATGCATGCACAAATTTTACGCCATTGTGTGAGATGGTTTTAATAGAGCTCCTTGTCTCAGTTGTCAGCTGAAATTCAAGCCAATCGTCAGCCACCAGTAAGATACGTTATAAGATGTCAGTTCCAAATTACTGTTTCATCGTTTGCCAAGTATCAGTGAAGATATTTTCTCAGATATTGTAAAATTGAAGCCAATTGTATGGGATGTAATTTCTAAAAGTTGTTTGATCATTTGTTGTGTTATTTGTCAGCTGTCTGTTAAAATATTCTGTCAACTATATAAGCCTTAAATATGAGCAAGTGTTTGCAGTCGGATATTTTGTAAGATGTCAGCTCCAAAATACTTTTCCATCGTTAGTCAGCGATCAGTTAAGATCTTTGTAACATCTTAACTGATAGCTGGACTCATGACGCACTTATGTGAAAATAGTCAGTCAACGCTCTATACCGAGAGTAGTGAGTTTTCTCTGCGTGAAAGGGGGTGGGTTGCGATTAGCCTCTTCCACTGTATAGCTGGGCTCCATAATCAGCAGGAGGCTGATATGTGTGGTATATATAAGCGCTCTAGTGATCAGATATAAGTAACAAGATGGCTGCCATGGGCAGGGACGTAGCGACCGTAAAATTCAAGTTAAAATTTTGACATTTTCAGGTAAAATTTGCGCAATAAAGTCGTTATTTTTGTGAAATGATAACCAATGATAACCAATTTACATCCAATTTGTTTGCGAATTTGCTTTAGAAAACGCCAGAAATGCAGTCCTAGAGCTTCAAAAATGTAAAAGACCCCCATACCCCCTTTTCTGCCGAAACTTAGTATGACGGTGCGAATCAATCACAACAATTTTTATTATAATTATTACACTTTCAAGTAAATTTTTAACATTGAAGTTCAAGTTTCAGGTAAAATCCTCCTGCACCCCCCCCCCCCCCCCCAGACGCTTCGCCACGTCCCTGGCCATAGGCGCCCTTTGAAAGCATTCGATTGAAAGCATTCGATTCGATTAGTTTTGAGCTGCTTCTTTCGCAATTTACCTTAGCTCTCAACTGCAAGTATAGGAATGATTAGCACACTCTCCCCGGACCTATCACAAGTCACTCAACAAAACCATATTTGCTGAAAAAGATTGAAAATCATTTTCATATCATGCTAATTTCATTTTTATTTCATCTTTAGTACCTTGTATAAACAGTATTGAAAAATGAATGATTTTGGAAGAAGAATATATGTGTTCGCTTTGATCTGTTTGATGTATCTTCCCCGTGATGTTGCGCCTTATTATCAATATCCATCAGTGTATTGGGCTCCGAAGAATTGCAGGTATTAAAGGAATTGCAAAATGGTTTCCCGTGCAGGATAGCTAGTCATCCATGCACGCGTGATGTTGCGAGACTTGCGAGACTTTTGGAACGCGTAAGAAATGTGTGAGGGACTTAGTGTTACAGGTAAACTACGTTACTGCTACGTTACTGCGTAATAGCTTTGCAAATTTGAAAAACTCTTTGCAAATCCTTGAGGGAATTTGCAATCTTCCTGTCGGCCGTTGCAATATTCCAACGCAAAGAAAGTTCCTTTCAAATTTCCCTAACTTCCTGTTTTAATTTCCTGACTTCCTGTTCTGTTCTGAGCGTTATCATTGGCGGATTATTTTTGTTAGCCAATTACAACGCGCAGAACAGAACAGGAAGTTAGGAACTTGAAACAGGAAGTTAAGAACTTCTAACAGGAACTGAGGACAATTTATTTGGCTCTTAAGAACATTGCAAATTCTCTCAAGGGATTTGCAAGGGAGTTTTTCAAATTTACTAAGGTAATGAGGAAAATTGCAATCAAGTTAGGAACTTAAAAGACGAACGCTTCACGTAGTTTACCTGTAAACACCGAGTCTGTTCCCTCAAAACTCAGTTAAGCCCCGTTTACACTACGCTCAATTTTTGGTACGGCACGGATAAAATTGGTACCCGTACCACTTTTTTGGTTCTTGGACTACCTAAATAGGTAGTCCAAGAACCAAAAAGTGGTACGGTACCAAAAATTGAGCGTTGTGTAAACGGGGCTTAGCTAAATAGGTAGTCCAAGAACCAAAAAAGTGGTACGGGTACCAATTTTATCCGTGCCGTACCAAAAATTGAGGGTAGTGTAAACGGGGCTTTAGAATTCATATATGTATAATAGACCAAATCCCAGTCCCAACTCTGAAGAGTTGCTGTGGGATAGGGCGCTTTCAGAGGTTATATACTCATTGGTCTCATTGAGAAGATCGATCTTTTAAAGAAAAGTTAAGAATTTCAATCGCAAGATGATGTTTATCCGATCATCAGGAATTGCGGGGAAAGCAAAATATGGCCAATATAAGTGGGGGAAGATGGTAATTTATATATTTATCTCCCAAGTGTTCACCCTCGCTATGTAACAATCCCTTTTACATTATCTTCCTAGATTCAATCTAAACAAATCACCGAACAGCGGATACGAATTTCGTGTAAAACCATTTGGAAAATTATACTTCGTCTGTCCCAATATCGCGTTATGGAATGATATAAGTAGTATAGGACCTCAGCTCTCAATGATGCACGAGAACTTGATGTTAGTGGATAAAGAGGGATATGAAACGTGTACCGTTAACAGAACTCGAGATTCGCGTCTAAATCGCGTGATATTAAAATGCGATGGTGATGCGAATCGATTGAAATCTTTGCAGGAAACATTCTCACCTCGCAGAGTTGACCAGCGCCGAATGCAGTATGAAAGCGGGAAAACGTACTATTTTATTTGTAAGTATTGTCATGCTGCCATATACAGGGTGTCTAAAAAAAACCGCTATGGAAATTCAACAGGCTGTCGTGCATCATAAACGTAGCTAAACAATTCAATTTTTACATACGACGAAAGAACAGTTATTTAGCTTTTCAATGATACTCTTTTCAAATCGTAACGATGGGAAATGGCCACATACTCGTCAAATAAAAATTGCCGATCGAAATCACATTCTTCCACCGTTGGGAATTGCATCGAAAACGAACCATAGACAATTCCCAAGAGAGAATTAAAACTAAATGTTAAATTATCTAAAATGAGCTCAACTCGTCGATCTTCGTCTTAGTGAGACAATAACTCAATAAGAACGTCCATAAAACATGTTCAATTAACCCCTGAACAGAGAGCATTCGTAATCAAAACGTTTCACGAAACAAATAGCCTGCAGCAGGCTCGCGTTGCTTTTGGATTGACTAACTTTGCATAATTAATGAATTTTCAATTCTCAACGGTGGAAGAATGTGATTTCGACCGGCAATTTTTATTTGACGAGAATGTGGCCATTTCTCATCGTTACGATTTAAAAAGGTATCATAGAGAAGCTTAATAACAGCTCTTTCGTCCTAGGTAAAAATTGAATTGTTTAGCTAAGTTTATGATGCACGATAGCCTGTTGAATTTCCATAGCGTTTTTTTGAAACACCCTGTATAGGGCTTCGATGGTTGTCTGCAGTCAGCGACAGACGTAGGCAGGATTTCTAAGGTGGCCGAAAAAATCCCATGCAGGAGCGCCGAAGCAATTTTACCCTGTGCTAATTCGAACAAAGTTTGTTTTTCCTTGGTAACAATTTTGCTGGTCCAACTCATAGATATCTTATATACACTAGATAGTGCATCAAATTATTCTGCAATTCAAAAATTGAAGCCGTGATTGCAGGCTCAGGATATTCCCATGAAATGAGAAGACTCGTATAATGTTTTCTATTTCTTAAACAGGGAACTTAAACATTAAGTTAAACCTATTCCAAATACATTTTCAAACTATTCAAATGATGAAAGTTGTTGTTGTTTTTTTTAAGCGTTTATTAGCGAGTGGGAAACTCCAGCATGGCCGCTATCTATTCAAATGGGGGTAACCGCTGGAATATTAAAAAGTCAAAATTTTTTTGACCAACCTCGAGTATCAATTAAAACATAAATAGCCACCTCTGGTCAAAAACTTTACAAAAGGATGCCATTCAGTTGTCACACATATCCTTTACCATTTCTGTGACATGAGTTTGATAATGTGCAATTTTCTGCAATCTAAAGTTTCATGTTGTCTGCACATGTACAGTACTTTCTTTGGAGACACCTCCTGGCAAATCTGAAAATGATCAAGATAGTGACTCCGATTGATTTACATATTGTATTGACATATGATTGTTAACATGCAGCTTTTTTTTAGTCTTCAATATTTGAGTGTGTCATGCTTAATTGGAAATGACAACAAATTTTTATTACTCAACCCTTGAGTTGTTTTGTTTTTCAATCACCCAACCTTTTTACTCACTCAAAATTTTGTTTACCCAACCATTTTCTCTTCGGTGCCAGGAAGGTAAAATCTCAATTGTTTTAAAGATAAATAGTCTAGGCTGAGTATGTGATACAGGTTAGCATAATACTTGTTGTAATCGGTCACTGAAAAGCCCTGACGGGGAGTGAACGGAAGAACAATGTATGTTTTTATATGTTGACTCTAAATTGTCTTATTTTATTCATTTCTCGTATTTTATTCATTTCAGCAACGTCAAACGGATCAAAAGACAGTTTGGATAATCTGAGTGGAGGACACTGCAAAACACATAATATGAAACTTAAAATTACTGTCTGTCGTCCCAAAGGTATAGAAATATAAAAAAATTATATTCGAAACTGTTTATATAGATCCAGTAAGAGTAATCAATTATTGATCCAGTTTTACTACAGGAGGAAGCCTATACTAACTTTGTTTATACTGGATAGCTCTATCAGTTGTAAATTGTTCTTCCTAGAGGTCCAGTAAGAATCATCTCTTATTGATCCAGTGTTACTACAGGAGGAAACCTAAACTAAACTAACTTTATTTATATAGTGGATAGCTCTATCAGTTCTAAACTGTTCTTCCTAGAGGTCCAGTAAGAATCATCTCTTATTGATCCAATGTTACTACAGGAGGAAACCTAAACTAAACTAACTTTATTTATACTGGATAGCCCTATCATGCATCAGTTCTAAACTGTTCTTCCTAGAGATCCAGCAAGGGTCACCCATGCAGATCTGATGTATTGTTTCCTCACAAGTTTTTCAACATTTGCAGATTCATGCGAGTTCCAAATGCCTAAATGTCCATTCACGGCTGTGTCTCACAAGGCGACCACAACAACGAGTACGACGCCAGCACCAACAACCAAAACTACCCTCTCACAAAACACTGACACTGAAGCGGCTGCAGTCAAAAATCCCGAACCAACCTCTCGGGATGAAACAGAAACCAAAGAAACAAAAACCAAAGAAACAGAAGAGAAAAAGATTAGAAAACAGATACTGAATCACTCAACTAACTTGCCCGTGACTGACCCACCAACCCAGTCGAAGAATGCCAAACTTTCTACAAACGAAGAGGGTAGGTTTGAGGGTTTGAAGGCCTACCGACATGGCCAGAAACCACGCACATATTTTATTATTAGAGAGTTTAAGCAAGTGTCATTTTTGCAACACGGACGCCAAGCAGAAGTCAATCGAGCCGTTATAGATAGCGAGTGATAGTAACATTAGAATTCCTACCAGAGGACCTTGTGCTGCATTTTTCGCAGTCGTTCCTGGTCAGGTCTTAAAATGTATATATACTCACTTGGATTACAAACTCTATAACAACAGCATTCTAATATTAATACCACCAAGTGAAGTGCAAGAATCCAGATCATTGAAGTCCACCTTATCACAACCCGCACACCTGATCACCTATATATACATGAACTTACGGTTACAGCTCAACAGCTGGCTTCTGCAGCTCACTGGTTGGGGAATCGCAGGGCCGTAGGTTCAATTCCTACCAGAGGACCTTGTGCTGCATTTTTCGCAGTCGTTCCTGGTCAGGTCTTAAAATGTATATATACTCACTTGGATTACAAACCCTAACAACAGCATTCTGATATTAATACCACCAAGTGAAGTGCAAGAATCCAGATCAGTGATAGTGACAGCCATTCTTGGTTGAAATTAAGAACGGCAGTCAGTACATTTTTACGTTTGTGATTTCAAACCAGCGAACTCTAATATCTGGAGCACGAACGTCATTCATTCGGCCTATGAGAAAAGTCAAATGACTGAAATTGACGTCCAATAGTTATATGAAGGTCGTAAAGACTTTTAATACCATATTTCAAGTTAATTCCAGTTTTTTTAAAGGATATGGCAATAAAACTTAACTTTGTCTTATTTGAAAGAACTTTTAAAGTTATATATGAAAACCCTTTACAACTTTTTCGTACCTTCAGGCTTGATTTTCGAAATATTTTGACCAAAACAAGTGTGCAGTCCGCCATCTTGGCTCCATCTTGGACTCACAAGCAGGGTAAACTTGTTAAAACTTCTTCATGTGGGACTAAATTTCTTCGAAAAGTTTCTTAAAATGTTGTGAGTTAATTGAGTACATATTGATAATGACATGTGATTTGCAAGATAGAAATTTCGCTTTTCACCCTACTTGTGACGTATGCATATCGAATGCACATCCAAAATGGCGGAATGCACACTGTTTTTTTTTATCAAAGTAATTAAGTCGATTTATTTTGAAAACCAAGCAAAATACGGAATAATTGTACAGGAAGTTTATATATCATTTTAAATGTTCTTTCAAATAAGACAAAGTTAATTAATATTGCCATATCCCTTTAAAGGACCTCATCGCAAATCAAGTTATCAGTTTATAAAACCAAAGTATTATTATTTAAATCGAGGTCAAAATACAAAACTTCCGGTTGGCGTCCGTTACTAGGCAAAATTTTGCGCGGTTTTTCTAAATTTTAATTAGTTCCATCCGAGAAATCACAAGACAAAGAAAAATTCCGCTCCGCGCGCAAAATTCAGCCTTAAGGTCCAGACACACTGGACGCGATTCTACAACGCGACGCGATTTTTAATGTAGACCAAATAACTCAAATAACGCTTCTAAATATTTGGAAAGTTTAAACTAGGGTCAAAGTTGTCGGTCAGTGGAAATCGAAAAATCACGTAGCGTTGTCGAATCGCGTCCGGTGTGTTTGGACCTTTAAGGCTGTTTTCCACTGGGCGGAATTTTCTGCGCGGAGCGGAATTTTTCTTTGTCTTTTCTAATTAGTTCCAAACGAGAAATCACAAGATAAAGAAAAATTCCGCTCCGCGCGCAAAATTCCGCGTAGTGGAGAACCGCGTTTATAGAAAACTGGCTTAAGTTCTCTGTTCTCCGAATCGAGTTCACGTTATCGATTTTTCATCTTCATATTTGGTAGAAATGGACTTCAGTGTTAAGAAATTGATGCACAAATTGTCTATATCGAATATGTCACGGTTTTTTGACGCTCAGAGCGCGATTTAGGACGTTTTAAACATTTGGTTTTCCTATTTATACTTGGCTTTTTTGTTTCTGTAGTTTGGGGATCAGAGAGAAAACATATTATCATTCATATCACAATGGCGTTAATTATCTTGGTGTTAACATTGTCTCTTATTTACGTCTTAGTTACACGAAGGTGAGTTTATCATTTAAACTTGTATGCTAGTCAAAATGTTATCTATTTAGTGCTCATCTGCTCAGTGCATTTTTTAAGGATTTTTCAGTGGTGGGGAAAAACTGCCAAAGGGCCCATTCTTTCCTTGCCCTCCCCTCCCAGAGTAGTGCAAAAGCGAGTTAGCTAGGGGGTCTGGGGGCATGCCCCCCAGAAAATTTTTAAGACTTGGGTCTCTTAAATAGCATTTCCTGCATTCTGAGAACACGTTTAAAAAAAAATCTCAGCTTCTCAAAACAAAGTTTTAATGGTGAAATTTGTAATAAATTACATGCTAAACATTCAAAGACAACATAAGTTTAAGTATAATCACCAACAACTTCTTCTCAACTTTAAACTTCTTCTCAATGTTAAACTCGTTTACTCAATACAGGTCTTAGGACCTGGCTTTGGGGCAATAGGTCATTTGTTTCTTCAGTGGTGGGGCAGAGGAAGAGGGGCCGAGTGGGGCAAATGCCCCACCAGTCCATGGGATTAAAAAATGCCTTGCATCTGCTTTGAAGGGTCAGTATCAGACATAGGCGCCGTATGGCCTAAAAAATAGGGGGAGGGGGAAGGCGGACAGAATTAATGTTTATAGATTGTTTATCATGTACTTGTTCAAAATATACATAGTTTCCTTTCGGCAACTGTTACGCAACTGCCGTTGTTATGGCAACAATGACGTTCAAGGCTTTTTGGATTTAAATTTTAACTCGAAAACGACATCGGTGACCCCCAAGTTTTATTTCATAAAAAGATTTCTCTTAGCATACTCAATTATTTTGCCAAAATTGTTTAACCAAAAAAAATTATTGCAAATAATCACCATCTGTTTTAGACTTAGCAAACTTCGTTTTGGGCAGAGGAAGGTTAAGATGAATATCAACCTGGTGTTTGCATGATAGGAATCCCGCAAGAAAGCGAATAAAAGAAATAAATCTTGTGACCAAGCTGATTTTAGAGTATTAAATACCCGGATATATAATTTTTCTTATTTTTATAATATTATGAATAGGTATCCATTTCAATTGACGAATTAATTATACAGAAGGGGCATCTGTTTTTTTTTATCAAGTCTAAGTCAATTTACTATTATTGCTTACAGGCAACCGAAATCGAAGCCGATTACATTTAATTCGAAGCTTTACCAAGAAAGACCAATGAGCGCAATAGCTCTTGGCGAACTTAGTAATGGACACGCAGAAGCAATTTGACGTCGTTTATTTATTTATGGAGAAGAATATGAGCATAAAATCGGACAGAACCGGTACTAAATTTCGTTTTTGGATAAAGGACGATTGATTAAGCCAATTGGCAGTGCCAGTGGATAACGGAATAAAGGAAATCTATTTCCAACTAATTTACAGGACATTGACAGTGAAGAATTAGTTTGTCTCATTTGAAAGAGATTTAAAAATAGTTAATAAAGACTTTTTTACAGCTTTTTCATATCTTTGCTTCATTCTTGAAATGGTTTCATTAAAAACAATTGAGCTGTCCGCCATCTTGGATTATTCAAAATATGCATGTTACGTTAGGCATGTCGCTGACCTCAGAATGACATTTTGTCAAAACTTTTTTCTTAAAGATTGGTTTAGAAACAAATTTGGAGTAGGGTTAGGTTAGGGTTAGGGTTAGGGTTAGGGTTAGGGTAAGGATTAGGGTTAGAGTTGGTGTTTGGAGTAGGGTTAGTGTTAATAAAACCGTTGCTTGTTACGTTTTGTCACACTGAGGCCAGCGAAATAATCTCTTCTATTGAGGGGTTAAGTAAATTTTTTATCTTGACAGCCAGTGATCATCATGAGCTTAAAACTCGTTTTTAGTTGCTATTTCAAATTTCGAATTCAATAAAAACGCGATTTTAAACTACTTTTGATGTTTACTCGGTCACTTAATTTTAAAATTAATCCAAGATGGCGGGAAAGCTAATTGCTTTCAGCCAAAATATTCCAGTTCAATAGTTAAACTTGATATGAAAAAGTTTGCAACATGATTTAATACATCATTTTAAACATTCTTTCAAAAGAGACAAACTAAATTCTTAGTTCCAATGTCCTTTAGTTAAAGCAATTGAAAAGGATGAATTACTGACAGGGTACATTTAAATACGATATTTGTTGATCATGCATATAAAGAAGCACTTTAAGAAGAAATGTTCTCGACTAACGGAATACTAAATGAAGACTATTTTGAAGAAGATTATTATAGGCGTATGGAATATTGGAAACTCAGTTTGAAAGGGCAAGAGATATCGAAGTAACTGTAATTGCCTTGAACCTTCCCAGACGGAAGAAAAAAATCATCATCAACGCATTCAAACCACATTCAGGTTGATTTTTGTGTAAAAAATAGCTGTATAATAGCGTAAAGCGTGTCAATATTCAAATGTTTCAAAATAATTTATTAACTTACAGTAAGCACGAAAATTTAAAGATGTTGTAAAGTCCGTTCTGCGCATATACGTTCTGCGCAGGCCTCATTCCAATGCCAATTGTCGGGACCCGACCATTGGAATGTTATTAATATTTCGCACCTTCCGAACTTTCTTGAATTGAATCTCTAGTCTGTATTCATTTGCAAGCATAGCGTATTAGCGAACCAGAAGAGTGTTAAAAATTCAGTATAATATATACCTAATCATATTTTACAACTGCAGTACTGAGTTCAAAATGTAAAGTCTGTAAACAAAGCGTTTGTTTACATTACGGACTTTACAGCATCATTAACACAACATACCAACTGGGCAATGGGTAAAAAGCCTCTATTCCATTCATCGCAAGAGTTAACTTGCAAGCTCAATGCGATTGCTTTTGACCAATTATTATTGATGCAAAAACTCGCAGCGAGCTCCCGAGTTGATTTTTGTGATGAGTGAAAAAGGCCCTTTGCCTTTGGCTTTGTTTGGCTTTGAGTTTGAACGTTTCAAAACATTTTTTATTACTGAGAATCTTATTTTACGTACATATTTAGCATAATGTATTTGTAAATATGTGTAAATTTAATACCTATATAGATTATAAAGTTTCAAAGATCAATGTATAGGCGTAATAAATTGTTTTTTCAGATAAAAATTCTTATGAATTATTTGACTTCTATTTTATTATTCACTCCATTGAGCTCTAAATATCTCAGTCATTCGGCCTATCAGAAAACGAAAATTGGAGGCCTGAAGTGAAGGCAACATGGCGAAAATTGACGTCCAAAATCTACAAAGGTTGTAAACAGTTTCCCAGCTAATGTCACTGTTTCTTCACTATTAATTACACTAAAAAAGTTATCAGTTTATGAAAATATAGTGTTATTCTTTGAATCGAGGTTGAAATACGAAATTTCGGCGAACTGCCTTGCAGTTTAGAAATTGAGAATGAAACTGACGTCCAATAGCTCCATGTTGGCACAGAATAGAGACCATAGAGAAAGGTGACTCAGCCAAAAAAAGCGTAATCGCTGTGCGCTTACGAGTGGCATTCACCCCCCTGTTTGTGTCCACTATTTTGAATATTTTCAGGGGGGCTGAATGGCTCTCATGAGCATTCTGTGATGTTGCCCCAGTGACTGTCTTGCCCTGACCAACCTGCGTACTTCATGTCAGTTTCATATAATGGCTCTATCCAGGTTCCACTCGGTTTTGGCGGCCATTTTAAATCGCAGAGTTTGGAATACGAAAAATATGCCGAAAGTTTGAAATAATTCGAAGCTTGTGGCCAGAATTTAGCTGTAAAATACATCGTCACAGTAACAACTGGAGTCTGGGAGTTCAAGAAA